ATGGGTTTAGAAATGAAATGAGAAAATACAGGCAGGAGAGATTAAACGGCTGACTAGATTAATTGTTAAGTAGGTCAATTATCTAAGAGGTAACAGAATAACTTCTTGGCTGATGAAATTCAGTCACTGAAGCAACCACAGCAGCTCTACTCCAAGCTGAGTGGTCACAGACCTTGAGCTGCTGAGTCCCCCACGGAGCCACAGGCCTTTCCTCGTGAATGACTCCAGTCTTCCTGGTCAGCTCAGGAGAAAGGAAAAAGCAGACAGAAAACTCTGAAATGTGTCTACTGGTCAAAGACTAATATAAGCTCCTCTTACCTCACACCTCATTGTTAAAACCATGTGAGCATGTACTCTAAGAGAAAGTAAATTATAGCATATCTGAATTTAAAGAACTCACAGCTAGATCCCTGTAACAACAGTAAATAGCAGAGAATAAGGAACCCCAATAATGGCCCCTATGCCCCTCCTGCTTTACTGAAGAGTAGCTGCAATGATATATAAAGAGGAGTATTCTGTATTGGCTACAGACAGTGAGAGCCTCACCTGAGCATTCACAGGCAATGCAGAGGTCATAGGGTGCAGTTCATATCCCAATCAGTCACTACTGATTAAAAACAATGATGAGTACCCAAATTTTAAAAACCATGGAATGCATGGAATCATGGTGTTTTCCATTATATCTCACATAAATGACACTTCAAGGAATGTCTACAAAATTGTTCATAGTATCTTCTACATAGTAAGTGAACAGCTAAGGTAAATTCTACCACCTGTAACCTACACACAGTAAGCTTGAGTCTCTAAAGAGAAGTAGCTGCAGAATTGGAGACCATCATCTGTGCGAGTGCATAACTAGGACATCTCGGAGTCACCCTGGGTGCAGAATCAGAGGCCATAATTTGTGCAGGTGCATAAGCTGGACATCTCAGAGTCACCCTGCGTGCAGAATCAGAGGCCATCATCTGTGCAGGTGCATAAGCTGGACACCTCAGAGTCACCCTGCGTGCAGAATCGGAGGCCATCATCTGTGCAGGTGCATAAGCTGGACATCTCAGAGTCACCCTGGGTGCAGAATCGGAGACTATCATCTGTGCGGGTATGTAAGCTGGACACCTCAGAGTCACCCTGGGTGCAGAATCGGAGACTATCATCTGTGCGGGTGCGTAAGCTGGACACCTCAGAGTCACCCTGGGTGCGGAATCGGAGACTATCATCTGTGCGGGTGCATAAGCTGGACACCTCAGAGTCACCCTGGGTGCGGAATCGGAGACTATCATCTGTGCAGATGCGTAAGCTGGGCATCTCGGAGTCACCCTGGGTGCGGAATCAGAGACTGTCATCTGTGCGGGTGCGTAAGCTGGGCATCTCGGAGTCACCCTGGGTGCAGAATCAGAGGCCGTCATCTGTGCGGGTGCATAAGCTGGACACCTCAGAGTCACTCCGGGTACAGAATTGGGGAGCATCATCTGTGCAGGTGCATAACTAGGACATCAAGGTCACCTTGATTTCCTCTCATGTTCCTCCACGTTAACCCAACCTTCAGGACCTATTGCTATTCTCTTTGGAGCATTTTTCAAATCTCACTGGTACTATTTTTTTTTTTTTTTTTTTTTTTGAGACACAGTATCACTGTGTCACCCAGGCTGGAGTGCAGTGGTGTGATCTCAGTTCACTGCGACCTCCACCTACCTGGTTAAAGAGATTCTCCTGCCTCAGCCTCTGGAGTAGCTGGGATAATGGGAATGCGCCACCACACCCAGCTAACTTTTGTGTTTCTAGTAGCGATGCGGTTTCGCCATGTTGGCCCGACTGGTCTCAAACTCCTGAACTCAGGTGATCTTCCAGCCTCGGCCTCCCAAAGTGCTGGGATTACAGGCATGAGCCACCATGCCCAAGCCTGACCAATATCTCTTAAGTACACATCAGTACTTAAGAAATATCAGGGTCTTTTGGACTCCCCCACTTTTAGCCCATGTTCCATGATGCTGCTAAAGTGATCTTCTAACCCTGAACTGGCTCCCATGGTGCCTTTGCCTAAAATCTTCAAGTGGTTCTCATCGTCTTCAGGATGAAGTTCAAATTTCTAAGCATGACACACAAGATGCTATAACCTGGCCCCTCCTACCTAACTTCTTGCCCTTCCCCAAATGCGTTATGCTCCCCCATCTTCCTTCCTTCAAAATACAGAAGCCAGGCAATATTGGTGCTTAGCCAACACAAATGAACCAAGCAGAGATCCTGGCCTGTGTGGGCCTCGTATTCTTATGGGAGAAGGTGAGAGATAGGGAGGCAGATGGAAGGCAGATGGATGATAGATGGAAAATGGATGGATGGTGTATGTAAGTGGATGATTGACGGGTAAGTGGATGATTGATGAAAGGGCAGACAGATGCAGGAGAGGTCAACAAAGGAGGAATGATTGACGGGTAGGTAAATAACTAATACAGATATGCAGACGGAGCAACAGAATGTCACATGATAATGGCAACAGAGACATGAATCAGGATGGGGAAGGGGAGGGACCGTGTATGAAGAGGCGCTATATTTCACAATTCTACAGAAACAGGGGAAATGAATCCTGCTTCTCGCGTGGAGCCTCACCTCCCCTGCGGGGCAGAGCCTGCAGTCTGTGAGCTGAAGCGTTGGTGTCCTCCAGCCGCCCTCCCACTCTCAGCCACCCCCTTCGCTGTGTGCCTCTCCCACACCTTCCTGACTTTGAAGGGTGACAAAAGGTGCACAGGTGAACAGAAAACGCACCCGAGGCCAAGAGATCACCGTCTCCTGCTACACTCGCCTCTCAGCCTTCTATCTAGAGAGAAGCGCGTGAGTCAGCCACAACCTGCCACCTTATCTCACGAAGTAGCTGGGACTACGAAGATGACACGATCCAAAGGCCAGGTCAGCACACGGCTGATCAACCCCCTGCAGCGTCGTGGAGATGTACGGAACGTAGGAAACAAGACGCAATGGCGACTGACGTGCGCGCCTCTGCAGTGTGGTCAGTCAGGCTTTCACCCCACTGCGATGAGCGGCCCGTGGGATCCTCGGCTATCAGGCAGCCTCCCTGACTTCTGTTTTCTCATCTACAAAACGGAAGGACGACCACCACCGGCCTCCGTGAGAATTGAAGCTGTGTGAACTCACGTCTCGGTGTGTTGTATGTCCGCAGGCAGGGCCCCGACACAGGGGCCCTGACAGGGTGAGGGAAGCGGTCGTCACAGGCTGAGAGCATGCAGGTGCCTCCACTCTCCCGAACGTGACGGGGGCGTCCGAGACACCCGCGTGAGTCAGAGGAGCTCTCGGTACGCACCAGGGTTTAAGACAGTTCTGAAATAACGGAGGTTGGATTTGGGAACAAATCCTCCTCCACCCCATCCGCACACATTTTCCTGGGGTCAAAGCCTCCTTGGAGAACACAGGGGGCATGCTAAGGAGGTGCACCAGCTTTTCACTCAGGCTCTCAGGCGCGTCCTTCTCGTTTGCACGGGTGACGCTTCCTGCGGCCATAAAACCTCCCCTACAGAAAGGACAGCAGAGCCAAGACGCCAGGCGGACAGCGACTGAGGACGCGGCGCAAGCAGCCCATCACGAGCCTGTGCGGACAGAGATTCATTACAACACAGCTGAGACTCACAGGATTTTTCCGACCACCGGCTGAGTTCCCTAATCCCTCAGCCCCGGTCTCCTCTTCTGACACACGAGACAACAGCCACACTTCACCTGCTTATCATGAAGCTCAACGTGAGAATGCCGGTGACGCGCGTGTGAAAAACAAAGTGATTCACAAATCAGGTCCGTCAGCAGCGATCACCCCTGTCCCCACCAGTGCCCCAGGAACTACAAAAGAATTCACAAGTAATTTTCTTTTAAAGAAGCAACTTGAACCTACATGTTGGAAAAACTCTCTCAGAGTAATTCAAACATCCATCACAGCCTAAGTTTTTTGTTTGTTTTGTTTCATTTTTGAGACGGAGTCTTACTCTGTCGCTCATGCTGGAGTGTAACGGTGTGATCTCGGCTCACTGCAGCCTCCGCCTCCCGGGTTCAAGAGATTCTTCAGCCTCAGCCTCCTGAGTAGCTGGAACTACAGGTGCATGCCACCACGCCTGGCTAATTTTTGTATTTTTGGTAGAGATGGGGTTTCAACATATTAGGCCAGGCTGGTCTCTAACTCCTGACCTTGTGATCTACCCACCTTGGCCTCTGACAGTGCTGGGATTACAGGCATGAGCCACCAAATCCAGCCTTTTTCTTTTTTTGAGATGGAGTCTTGCTCTGTTGCCCAGGCTGGAGTGCAATGGTGCGATCTCAGCTCACTGCAACCTCTGCCTCCCAGGTTCAAGTGCTTCTCCTGCCTCAGCCTCCCGAGTAGCTGGGATTACAGGCATGTGCCACGATGCCCGACAGCCTAAGTTTCCTGTTGCTAAATCAATAAAATTTCAGCTGGCCAAGCCCCGGTGACAGTGGCAACTCAGTCTCCAGACAACCCCATGCGGATGGCATCATAAAACACAGAGGAAAACCAGACAGGAAACGTGTGACAGTGTATGGGTTTCGTTTCCATTTAGAAAAGTACACCTGGAAGACAAATCACTGAGGAAAAAGAGAAAAACTCTCCTAGCAACAACGGTCACAAAATTATTTAATAGTGACCCCTAAAAATGAGAAAGATTTGGCACGAGATTACCATCTTTTTAATTCGCATGCAATTCTAAATAAATCACACAGGCTTGTAAAGCACGTGAAGAGCTACCGTTTACCAGACACTGGAGTCCCCCAAGAGGGTGTGTCTGCACAGAAAGCTGGAGGTTCGTTGCCTGCCGGAGGCCCACACCCACTGCGCTTCTGCCTCTCCCGGTGGCTGGGCACAGGCACCTTCTTGGCAACAGCGGCCGACGGACGCACTGCCCTCGTGCCCTGCCCGTGCTCACCCCTGCCCCATGCTCACCCCTGCCCGTGTTCACCCCTGCCCCGTGCTCACCCCTGCCCGTGCTCACCTGACCGATAGCGCTCATCCCGTGACCCTGAAGACCGCCGGCGGTGGTAGCGGGAAGCAGAGGAAGGAGTGACGGGAGGCCGGCGTTCCTGCGGCAAAGCTTGGTCCACCCCTGCGTGTCAGGAAAAACAGCAGAGTGAGGTGTGGCTGTGCTGAGCAGACTCCAGCAAACCATCCCTCCCTCCTCACAGCAAAGCCAGAGCCACCCACGGGACTGGACATGGGGGCACCTCCGAGTCCACAGGCAGGAGGGCGAGGGCTGGGGGAAGCTCTCCCACAGGTGGCGAGGTCACTCCTGCCTGGATGCTGCCACGGCCATTTCACAGGGCAAAGCCCCCTGCACCACAGGGAGGGGGACCGACTCAGCCACAGGTGACACCTGGATTCCTTGGAGTTAGGGTGACAGCGACCAGGCCCAAGACACAGACTCAAGGTATGACCGTTCCATGCAATGAACATACAGAATGGGTCATATATATTGTTACAAAAACTTAAAAGTATATTATTAAAGTTAGTTTTAAAATAAATCTTATAGGATAATTTAACAATATAGTTCAGGTAACCAGGATATACCATGAACTTCCAGCTTTGCTCATTCTAGGTGACTCTCTGGAAACTTACTCCATTTGATGCCAAGTGTTTTAACACATGCTGTTTGACTATGGCTTTCATGAATCACAAAAAAAACATTAATGTGGTCAGATAAAAATGATTTAATTGTATTGGTCAAAACACTGACCCGGATGCCCGTCACGGTATTGATTACACTCAGGTAATAAGAGGGTGGCCAGGAACACAACTGGACAAAACGAAGCCCACAGGAAGGTGTCATTCTCACAGTTCCACGAAGAACTGCTGCAATACTGAGCACCGATCACTAACAGATGCTTCTTCAGGAAAGGATCGGTCATTTTTGATTGAAAGTAAACAAGGAATACAAGTTTTAAGTTAACAAAAGAAATATTAAGTCCCTGGTTTTCCATGTTGGGCTCTTAGGACAGTTGCTGAGTCTGCAGACTTAATCTTCCTCTTACTCTGTGGTTTCTGAACATCAGCCTTTGATGGCACCCGTGCGGGTCCCCCGTCAGGCGGGCGGGTTCAGAACTGAGTCAAGCACGGCCCCTATGCCGCCATTTTGTGACGTTCCATGTGCTCGCTTTCAGCAAGCGTCCAAATCACTACAGTTGCTAATGACTGAACTGTCTGCTCCTACCAACCTCTTCCAGCCGCCATTCACAAATGATCTCTTAAAAATGATCTTCAGTTACCTTTTTATCAAACAGATGCATTTTAGGAAATCAGAGAGTACTATCAATCTCACGTGAAAATAGCAGTTACCTGGCACTTACGTTCATAAATATAGACTTATAATGAGACTTCCTGAATTGCCCTTTTTAGATACCACCCCTTAAGCCACTGTGGTCATCACGCAGGACTACGTACAGATGGTCTTCTGCAGGGTCCGCACTGTGCTCAAATACCTTCCTATCTTAGGCTTTTCAATGATTCGGAGTTAACACTTTTAATCTATTTTCCATTATCTTGGCTTTCAGTGTACCTATGGCCAACCCTTTCATGATTCTCCAGCAGCACTGAAAACTGTTTCCCATACTTTTCTTGCCCACAATCAAACACTGACAACCTGGCGAGAACCTTTGTTCGCTTCTCCTGAAAGTCCTGTTGGAGCCCCGCTCTGACCCCAGACATGCCACAGTCACTGGGCCATGCCCTTCCTCCCACTGTTGGAGCCCCGCCCTGACCCCAGACCTGCCACAGTCACTGGGCCATGCCCTTCCTCCCACTGTTGGAGCCCCGCCCTGACCCCAGACCTGCCATAGTCACTGGGCCATGCCCTTCTTCCCACTGTTGGAGCCCTGCCCTGACCCCAGACCTGCCACAGTCACTGGGCCATGCCCTTCCTCCCACCGGCTGTGGACACTCACTGTCCTGTCACTTGTTCTCATGCTCCTCAATGCCTCCTCTGCTCTCCTGTCCTAAAGTAGCACCTCAAATGGCTTCTTCAGAAAGGACAGATGAGAACAACATTTGGGGGCCCAGCACATCTGAAAGTGCTTTTCTTTCTACCCATTGTGACTGGGTCTTTTACCTACATACGGAATTCTAGGTGAAAATTACTTTCATTCATTGCCTTTGGTTTCCATTACTGGTGAGAAGCTAAACGTCACTCTGATGCTATAACCTTTGGGTAATACCCATTCCTTTCTTTTCTCCTTCCATCATCTTTTCTTTATTCCCACTGGAGGAACTGCAAGCGAGTCTTTTCTTCTGATGGGAGCACAACACCGCACCTCTTCCCAGGAGGGCTTTCATCTGGGCTGTTTTGTTTGCCAAAAGAAGAGCCCTCTCCTCTCCAGTTTTATAACCAGACACAGGGACGTTCATCCCTCTGGACTGGGCTATTCCCTCCATATGTGTGCTCTGATCTGGAGCCTCTGTTTTCAGTACCATTCCCAAATCTGGGGCCTCCCCATTTAACTTCTCCAGAGAACACACATGGCTGGGAGGAGGGAAGGGACGGCCACCTGCTTCCTGGACACCGTTCTCCTGGCTCCACACCTGCAGTGCCCATAGCTCTCCCAGTGTCTGCATCTTGCCTTTCTCCATCTGCTAAATGATGAACCACAAGTTCCTCTACTTGACTTCTTGTCCTGTGGATTTACACCTTATACAGTCACTGACATCTTAGCACAGTTTGGGGAGAAACAGAGCTAAACGCACATTTTCAAGTTGCCAAGCGTAACTGGTGGCCTGGCGTTTCCAATGTTTCCCCTTCGATCTCAGTCCCACACCTGTCCAGTCCGTTCAAACACGTGTCCTGGAATCGCCTCCAAGCACACGAACCACGGTCTACAGAGCTCTAGGCTGCTGCGTGGCTCCTCACAGGCCTTACGTGTCTGATACCAAAAAGCTATTTTTGCATACCAACCTTGTGAATACTTACTCTCATAGGTTGAAATGCAAAGTTTACAACAAGAGTTTGAAAACAGAAACGAATAAAACAGAAGGGTTGAAAACCAGCTCTCAGGACAGTCACAGAAAGATTGGAAGCCTCCTAACAGAAGGCATGGTCGGGGAGAGAGGTCGGGGGTGGTCCCTGGGAAGGGGAGATCCCCAGGGAGATGTTGTGGCTGCATCCAACCACGAAAGAGTCTGGAGGACAAAAAGCGAGTCCTCCTCAGGCAAACACACAGCTCAGATGTTGAGATTCTCCTCACAGGTGCACCTGCTCAGCTTTCACACATTGGCCGTGAGAGGCACCAGCTCAACTCCAGCCCTCCATAGACAGGAGATCCCATGCCTGTGGTTGGCGCCCTGATCCATCTGGCTCCTGTGATTCTGTGGTATCCTGGGCAAGTTCCGGATCCTTTCTTAGGACAGAAGCAGCAGTGATAGCCTGGCCTAAACACTTTATACTTCACTCATTCAACAACACAAAAGCTCCAGGCCAGGATCATTCCTTCTGCGGTCTTCTTGGCAAGGAAACGGGTGCAGAACGGATCCATGAGTGCGGGCGGCGTGGTGCCGCCCTTGTACGGTGTCTGAACATTCTCCCATGACTGCCTTTTCATTTGCAAATGGGCCCCTCTCCCAGGGACGCCAGCAACCTGGCATGAGGGCCTTCAGGTGCTCCCCATCTTCACATGTCTGAATCGCCTATGACCTGTCTCCTCCTGGTGTCAGCACATGGCCTGCCTGGGCACTGTCCATGGCAGGTGTTCTCTGCCTAGAGTACTGTGGCTTCTACTTCCTCCCAGTGCCCAGGGCTGTCTTCCCCACATTGGTCCAGGAGGGCTCTGATGGTTTCATTCCTTTGCGTCCTGATGACCACAGAACAAAGCCCCCAACTCCTTCACTGGAACTGGGTCCTTCTGAGCCTCACTCCACCTTCCTGTCCAGCCTCATCATCTCTCGTGCCCCAAACCCCGGACCTGAGTCAAAGTGGAATGCCCACTGTCCTGGGTCTGAGCGCCATTTTAATTAAACGTTCAATTACTTACAGCACATAATTAAGAAAGGATTCCCCAGGGAAAATTCTAATAGAGTTCTGTGAACTGAGCAGCCCATCAATTCCAGGTTAGTACTAAGTGCAGGAGGGTACTTCATTGATACCATGAAAAAGCAGACAGTGGACAACAGTCCTCAAGTCACCCTCAGAATGGGGCAGGCCTGGGCCGCCCCCCGACACAGCAGCGCTCCACAGGCCGGGAGCCCAGCAACACGGGCGCCATGTGGTTCTTCAGGATGTTCAATGTACTAGAAAGAAGTCAGGATTTCTAAATTCAGACAGTCAGGAGTACACTGAAAATCCTGATTTTCAACATGTTTTTAAAAGACATCCTCAAGAATGTGTGGAGGAAAACTTAAATTTTAAAAGTATGTGGGATTTAAATGACAAGGCCTTGCTCCAAATTCCCACTTTGTTCTTGCTCGTCGCGTGTCCAGGCATGCGAAGGGTGCAGACATAAACATCGCTACGGCTGGCCTTGGCTCCCAGAGCCCTCCGGGCCTCCTTCCCGGGCACCCAGGGGCACAGGAATGTCCTGCATGAGAAGCCCGCTCTGGGCCCTTCGTGAAACTGCTGGGGATGGTTCTGTATTTCAGGTCTGTCCCAGAGCAGTTTCTGGATCCAGAATCCATCCCAAAGCACTCTCTCCAGGACCCAATTACACACTCTTGTTCATATTGCAGAACTTGTTTTTAAAGTAAGTACAATCAAGAACTTTGACATAAAGCAAACAGGACAACTGTTTCTTTGTATTTACTCAGATGGGAACACCCCACAATGAGAAGACTGAAACCTACCTGCCCCAACCCCACCAATCCCACAAATTCTCACCCTTTTTTTTTTTTTTTGAAAGTTTTGCTCTGTCGCCCAGGCTGGAGTGCAATGGCACAACCCTGGCTCACTGCAACCTCTGCCCCTTGGGTTCCAGCGATTCTCCTGCCTCAGCCTCCTGAGTAGCTGGGATTACGGGCACCTGCCACCATGCCCAGCTGGTTTCCGTATTTTTTATACAGAAACGTAGAGACAAGGTTTCACCATATTGGTCAGGCTAGTCTCAAACTCCTGACCTCAGGTGATCCACGCCT